AAGATTGAGGAGGTGACCGACACGAGTAAAGTGGAAGAAAAGAAGGAAGAGAATCGAACGGGGTCTCCTGAGGTCGTACAAGTCACTGAAGACAAGAAGAAAGACTGATACACATGATAATCAACATATTTCAGTAGTGTTAGACCGTCCATTTAAAGTACTATTTTTTTACTATAAAGTATAGTTTACCGGATATTAGAGCGTGAATTTTCAGTCATATAAAAGAAGAGTGAGATGTCCGGATTTGACTCTGATAAAAAAAAGACCGGAATTACAGAAGAAATGCAATTAACACGAATAAAAGAACTTCGAAAGGGAAAGTACTCGAAGACACGCCATAAGGATCACAGCCTGCGATTTTAACTAACTGTGAATTAACACATTTTGAAGTGAGACGCTTTTTACAGAGACACAAATTTGTGATGTACTTCTTAGGTGCTGTGTTACAAGAAAGTGTTGGGCGTGTGCCATTTGCTACTGAGAGATATACAGAATTTGAGGAGTCGACGGTAACACAATACTTCAATTTTTGATTGCCACAGATGTCTAAGTAGACAGTGGTGTCGGTGTATAACCCTATACTCTCTAAACCAGTCTGAGTGGAGGAACACTCGTTGGCATCGTTGCCGATATATTCTAAATCGTTTGTATAACAATTGGGAAGATAGTACACACGACCGGAACAAAGTTCTAATGAACGTGAATAAAAGAGGAGTGATAAGAAGAGGAGATTGAAGAGGGGAATCGACATTTGAATTTTGTGAGTTCTTTTATGCTTCTTAATTGAAACTAGTTAATTCAAATTAGAATATACTATATATTTACTATTAAATTAATTTATAGTAATAATAATTAAATTTATTAATATGTAATAATTATTAAAAGCCCATAATTCAAAAATTTCAGTTTAACAATTTTATAAACAATAATGAAAGTCAAATTAGTCTGGGAAATCGGACTACTAATCTAAAATTGGAACAATACAGAGAAGATTAGCAAAACCCCTGCGCAAGGCCGGTTACTTCTACGAGAAGTTAAGGAATTTTTTAAACTAAAAAGGATTAATTTTTTATTAATAATTGTTTCATACAAATTGAATTTATTATAAAATAGTTTAATTAATTATCATGATTTAATAACATAAAAATCATTCTTTTTTAATATTTTTTTTATAGTTGACTTGGTTACAGGTATAGATAAATATAATAATATTTTATGATAATTAAATATTTATTTTTATTGTATGTGGTATTAAGGCAGAATTCCACCCTTTTAAAGTGAATATCCGGGTGAGAATCCGAGAAATTCAATTATTATTATTAAAAACAACAATGAAGTTAGTTGTTAATAACAGAAAAAATCATATAAACATCATTTGTATTTTATTAGTTATATAAAAGGAAACTTTATTATGGAAGTTAAAGTGCATGGACAATTATTATTATATACTGTTTGCTGTGATTCCATTAATTGTGCTTGCTTTCATTGTCTGTATAATTGTTTATTGTGTATGTTGTAAAACACGAAAAACAACCCACAGAGACACAAATGAAGGAGTTGTTCGAGTAAAAGAAGAAAGCCGTTATAATGCATATCAAAATTTTAGTGGAGTTTTAATTAGCGAAACAATGCATGATACAAGCAATCAATCAAAAGAGAATGATGATGTAGCATATTCTCCTAACAAAAATTTGTATGAAGAAGAAAACAAGCAGTACATTAACCATTCTAGTGAAACATCAATGTTACAATTAGATGTACCAAAACCAAGTAATGGTACTCCAGATGTTAAAAAAGATAATAAAGATAACCAATTGAATAATACGACCAATTCAGAAAAAAATACTTTTGAAAATGTTCAAGTCCGACCAACACAAAATGTGAATATGTGTTGCATTGATTGGGGGACTGACACTATTAAAGTGTCTACACAAAAACAAGCGTATTTTTCAATGTGTTATTTCTCTGAAGAATGTACATCATCTTTGACTAATGTTATATATGTAGAAAAGGGTGTTATCCACTTATTTACAGTTCCAACAGTTTGTATTTCGTTAATATAAATAATAAATAACAAAAAGGGAGGGTCTGATGTTCGAGTGCATCGCCATATTACAAGTGGATGTGAGACCAACACATTTGACTTTGGGGTATATGGTGTTATCGATATAGTGACTGTGTTATCTTTAATGTTAGGCCGCATCAAGTCTACTACTCAATGTGATGTAGCAGGGATAATGGTACAGCCTTACTTTACAAAAGAATTTTGCACTTCTTTAATAAGTGCTGGTAATAACATTAATCTTCAAGTGATATTAATTCCAATGTTTCTTGGTGGGATCACTGACTTTTATTTCCGTGATGATACAAAGATGGAAGATATGGTGTTACTTGATTTTGGAGTACTCACGACTACATTGAATTGGTTTTCTATTAGTGGTGATACTATTACAATTGAAGAAGGTAAAGTAATGAATACGGGAAATAGAAATCTACATGAAATAGTTGAGAAGAAGGTCAGAGAGAAAGTAGAAAGAGAAAATGGGTGTGACAAAGCTATAGAAGAAACTGTGAATAAACTGTTCATGCTATTTTCTGATGAGAGTTCGACATACACTACGTTATTTATGGAATCAAAAACAGTGGAATTTGACAATAAAGAAGTTGATGATATGTTTGCTGATTATTGTAATTCACTCACCACATTTTTAAAAGAGTTCATTCACTCTAAAAAGACGTCAAAAATGAACAGATGTGTTGTCTTAGGAAATGCATTCAGACCTTTTCCTATCAAAGAAACAGTTTCAAACTTCTTTGACATTGTTACAATGTTCTCGAGAGATTCAACAACGTGTCAAGGAGGGGGAATGTATTTATCCCTGTATCTTGACTCTTTGTGGAGGAAGAGGAATATAGCCCAAGTAAATTATTCTTTAAAAAGTGGAGAGGAGCTTGTAATACAATATCCCAATAGAAAACATAGAGAAGAACAAACTTGGGAAACACTCTTATTCCAAAGAGGTGAGTATTTAAAAACTCGAAGTCAATATGTTGATATTAATACTTTAATATATCCTAAGGAGTTTTATAATAGTAATAGTAAAAGTAACTACGAAATATTTATGTTTTATTACAATGAGAACAAGACAAACTTTCGAGAGTTTTTGGAACAAAAAGCTCGATTACGATGGAACAATATGGTGAATAAAAGAAGACCAAATTACAATGAACTCACTATACAACTTGAAAATATCAAAGTTGGAGATATTCAGGCATTAACAGCGTTTCAACAAAATTTGAACAAATAACTTTTTAAACAACAATTCAAACAAAACACATTAAGGTTTCATTTTTAATGAATATTAAATGAGTTTTATTTATTAAACAACGATAATTTTTAATTAACGAATAATAATATAGTGTTGAATTAATATGGAATGTTATGCGACAGATACAATAAAAGGTGTCAGTCCAATGATAGTAATATAAATGAAAAGTATACACAATGATGCAAACCCCCAAAACCTTTTTTCGATATTAAAACTACAAATAGTGAATACTATTATAACAACCCACAGTGGAGGAAATAAAAGTCCCCCATAAAACAATAGTTCCCAAATACTTTTTTTATTTGTTTCTATTGTTGTTTCTTCGTATCTACGTTGTACGGCTGTGGTTTTCGATGGACTCAACATTTCAATGGGTGTTGGTTGTTCTTGATCATTTTGTGGTTCGAAGGGAATGTAAATGGTTTGGTGACGATTTTCGTTATCCATTACAATATAAAAATATGAAGTTCGATGTTTTTCAAAAAGACAGTAATTCGGCTTTTTTGGTAATTGTTCCATATAAATAAAAGACCATTTTTTTTCTGAAAAATAATAAAAAAAATGTTGTTCAATTTATAAAGCAAATTATAGAAAAAACTATATTTAATAATAAATTTTATTATAAATTATAATTCAGGTTCTATTATTTTTTTTCGAAAATGTTTTTGGATAAAAAAAGTCTGTTTATAGCAAAAACTACTCATTAAACTTTACAAGAGTCTTTATTTTTCTTCGGCAAGATGTGAAAGAAAGTCGCTTATAAACCGCCTTTTAGTTTTTGATTGAACAAAATAAATAACAAATAACAATATACTATTATCTATAATTATATTATAATCATTTCAATTATAATATTGCTTATTATTATTAGAAATAATTGGTAAAGAAGTTATAATATAATAGTTAATTTGAACTACTATTTAATTGTTAAGTAAAGCATGATCATATAGTTTGAATCAAAACTGATACATTTATAGTTTTATAATTAATGTTAAATAATTCTTGGAAAAACAATGGAATTACTTCTTATTTTCTCAATCGTTTTAAAATGCCGGAATGGGATGGGGAATTTGTATGAATTGTGATTGATATACTTAGAATATATAAAGGGGAATCACAGCAAACTCAATTAAACGACACAACAGAACCCAATAAACCACCCCAGTCCAAAGTAAATCGCAAAAGCCGCGAGCGCCCTATATCCCCAGAGTTTTTCCTCGAGACTTTTCTTTGTAATGCACATGACGACGATGACGGGCCAAATCAACGGGATGATAAACCCGAGAAAGAACAGGAGTTTTATTGATAGCTTAGTCTTCTTTTCTGGTTCTATATTTTGAAGTTGTTGTTGAACCTCTTGAGAGTAATCTGAAGAAGTGGGATGAGGTTGTTGTAACAAAGGTGTGGTTCCGTACTGTGGAACCCCGTTTTGATATGACGAATTAGAAGACTCAACAGGTGGGTAAGATAGTGGTGGTTGTTCAGTTGACATATTCATTGTCATATCGGTCGATGGTGGTTTGAAATTTTTTTAAATTAAATTTTTTATTAGATTTTTCTATTTATAAAATGACGTTTTGAAACTTAAACGTGAGGAATTAATGGTTTCGTTTATAGATTTTTGTTATATAAATAACTCTTGTTCATATTGTTTATTATTAAAATATTAGTTTATTATTATACATGTATAGTAACTGATATTTATGGTTGTAGTTTAAATTGTTTATTAATAATTTAACAAACAAAAGAATTACTAGAATTATAATTAATATTTTTTATTATTATTTTTATACTTTGATTGTTTATATAAAAAATGAAAAATGAAAATGACTTTTTTTTCGTTCCTAAAAATTTGAAATAATTCGGTGTTTTACAAAATTATTTTTATAACAATGTCGAAAATACTTCCATTTATTTTTCTATTGTTTATTTTTTATAATTTAAAAGTTAAACATTAGTTAAACATTAATATATCATTATAATAATAAATCAATAATAAATTGGTTTATTAATATAGTATTATAATTAACTATTATTATTATATATATTGAACACTTAATTTAAGAATTGTATATTGAATTTTTACAAAATATATTAATTTTTTAATATTTTCAACAATTATAGCAATATTTTTATGTTTTTCAACACCAAATACCACAGTTTTTATTTTTTTGTAATGTACAACACGTTAATAAAATACAATTAACTTTTTTTCAGATAATGTTTCTGTTCAAATAATTTAGTTGTTGTACATTGTTGTTGAAACACATGGTTTATTTTTTTTGTTGTAAAATACAAATTTGAAATTGATAGTATAAAAAATGGAAATAAAAGATTTAATCATAATGGTAATAGAAACAATACATTGTTGAATATGGATTAAGGGTATTGTTGTATAAACACGGAGAAATAGCATTTGTTTTAAGTGATCATCATTATTATCAATAAAAGTTATAGTAATTACAAGATAAACACAATTGAAAACAAAAAACATGTCATTGAAAATGTTTATTTTATAGTAAAATAAATTCAAATAAAACATATGTAGTCATTCAAAAGTTTATAATTTGTTATTGTCTATTAACAACTTATTATATTGGTAACTTTGTTGTGTAAGTGTCTAAAATGAAATACTTAAAGAGTCATTTGCAAAGAATATAAAGTTTAATTTGTCATTTGGTGTTCTACCTAAAAAACACAATTCAAAAAATGTTGGTATTTTATTAACTCTGAAAAAAACATAGATTGTTGTTTGATCTATTTTGAAAAATAAAAACAACAAAATAACAAATCAGTAGAAGAAATGGTATTTGACGACTGTATCTTTTGTCAACAATACTATTTGAATGGGCTGAACTTGTTTTGATTTATTTAAATTTTTAAATTATAAATTAATAATAACTTTAATCAAAATACAATTAGTTATCGAATAGTTAACTATTCATAATAACAATCATTTTTGTTTAAGGTGGTTCAGAATACCCCAAATAGAAAATTATTTTCATTTTACCCAACATTTTATAATGCAAAGTTATGTTATTCACTAAAATAGTAAATATCTTAGTAATTAATTATTTAAGGGTAAATAAGTGCTTTTTACTTTATTAAAATTAGAAAAAGAAAAAATGCCGATTTTTGTTTCTTCAATTTCTTGATAGTTTGAAATTCGAAAAATATCTTGGCATTCTTTATGATCAAAACTGATAATTTTACTATTATTTTTTCAACTTAATTTAAATAATTTTTGATAAAATAAGTTGAATTGGCTTATTTTTTTTATTGAGTAAAAAAGACGGAAATGCTTTTATCAACAAAAATAATTAATAAATCTGATAAAATATATTATAAATCTAATTCAAAATGTGTTCTATTCCATTTTTGATGTTTGTGGATTTTTTTGAACGAAGTTGTGACAAAATTGTCGCTTTTTGTAACAAGTTTACGTTTCTTGGTTGTTTTTCAAACACTTTTCATTGCACCTTCGTATCCTTTTAGCATGTTTTGTAACTCTTGCTTTATAATGTTCTTTTATCTCCACCTCTTGCCAAGTCATCAAGTCGGTTACCAATACCCTTCTTTCTTGGAACTCACATTATGGTATTACTATATATATTAATTTTTATATAGTTTTAAACTAGTTGATTTTAATCTGTATTTTTTACCATTGAATTTCTTGGATTGAGGCAAGATTTTGAAAATAGAATTACTAATGGCAATAAAATATCATTTATGAAAAATTAGTCTAATTTTTTTAAGGGAAACAAAAAAAACGAAACGAAGTATACTTCCAAAAAAGCAATAATGCACAGCCCATTTTTGTCAATTTTGTGATCATCCAAGAACAAAAAATATCTTTCATCTTTCAATTGAAACTATTGAAAACAAGAAGTAATTGGGAAAGAACTATTAGAAATAGTATTAATACCATTTAAAAATAATAAAAATAAAGTTTAAGAACAACATAATTATAACATTTTTTGAAATGAAATACTTATGATTTAAATAATACAAAAGTGTTTTATTGTCTAATTAGAATAAAACTGAATTAACGCAAATGAAACACAATGAAAGATATTTGTTAAATGGAAGTCGTTGGAGAAGACATTTTAATAGTTTAGAATTGATATTCATTATTTTTAGGATTCTGGTTTCTAAGAAATTGAGAAGTAAGTAATAAAAAATTTTATTCTAAAAGAGGCAAAGAAAAAGAGTGAAAGAAATACAACTTTGTGTGCGTTTGACATTGAAAAAGATCTTAACTCGATAATTTTCAAACATGATGAAACCAAACGTTCTTGCTACAAAAGATTTAGCAGACCGACAAAAAACAGTTAAGTCGTGGACATTGAAAGAGGATTCATTGCTTGTTGAAGCAGTAAATCAGTTTGGGAAAAACAACTGGAGAAGTGTAGAAGAGGTTGTTATGACACGAACACGAAAACAGTGCAGAGAACGCTATTTGAATCACTTGGACGACTCTGTTGAGAAGCGTGCTTGGACACAAGAAGAGGACGATATTATAATGAAAAGAAGAACAGCAATAGGAAACAAGTGGACAAGAATAGCTCAAGAGTTGAAGGGAAGAAGTCCAAATGCAGTCAAAAACAGATTCTTTGGGCACTTGAATAAACTCCACAAAAATGAAAAGACTGTGTTTACAAAAAATATTGAAGATCGGAATAGTATAAAAGATGAAGTTGAAAATAAAAGATGTTTAAGTTCACCTCGTATTACATCTGCTTTTTCAGTTGTCGACATGGATAAGTACTTTATAATAAAATAAGAATAATATTGTGTAAATGATTGTATATTATATTTTAATGTTATTTTGTTGGTATAATATTATTTTTTATTGAAAATGGTACCAATGTAATAATATACATATTGATAATTATATAATTGGAATGAAAAAATTAACATGTATGGCGTTTGCAATTATCATCAAAATATCCAATATCTTTTATTTTTGTTTGTATTTTGTGAGTGGATTTATCTAAATATGGAACAAAGAACTTAATTAAAGCAATTATTTAAAAAATATGTATTTATTATATTAAGAAATTAACCAAACAATCAATAAAGAAATTACAAACGACTGGGTAATTATATTTCATAGTGATACTATTGTTGAAATACAAAAACTGTAAAGTTATTTCAGTTTAATTTTTGGAATTATTATAATGGATAATCACAGAATTATTTGAAAACAGAGTGCTTTAATACATAACATATCATTATCATTTTTTATAAATAAAATAACATATTGAATAAATTTATAATAACTTTTTGAGGATAACAGTAAAAACTACTTATCATAACACTATAATTAATTTAAATATATTCATTTATTAAATAAATTTTTAAACAATATTACCACACCCATTGTTATGCTATTTAAAACATATTTAAATATCTCTACAAAGTTCAATTCTTAAGTTTGATGAAAAATAACAAAACGACATATGGTATGTATTACTACTCAAAAAAGATACAACAACTGAAAACAATAAACATGAAATAATAATTCATCAAATATAACTTCCATTTATAATACCTTAAAATTGGACTGTTTACTTAAGTATTATTTTCATTGTCATCTTTGCTAATAAATATACAAGCCCAATTGTGAGAGTATTTAAATGTGTATTAATTACAATATTTGTTTTGTATATTTCATTTTTTATTAAAATAATTTGTTTTAATTCTAATATAAAAAATTGAATTCAATACCTTTGTGTCATGATAAGGACTTTTCTTCCTTCTGACTGTCTTAAGGACAACAGAAAATAATCACAAATTAAGTTCGAAAGAGTTATAAAACCATGTTTATATTTGTTTATTATTAAATAAACAAACACGATTTTATGTGTTTACTTAATGATTATCTGTTGTTTATAGACAAACAAAACAATGAAAATTATGAATAGATATTTCACTTATATTAAAAATAATCTGTCATTTGATTATCATTATAGAGTCAGTCTAACAACGTTATCTGTTCGGAAACATTATCTGATCAAACTTTAATAACTGTATTTTTGTCTAAACATCGGACATTAGGTAAAACGTGAAAAAAACTGAAACAATTAGGATGAATTTTTGGGACTGCTTCCCGAAATATTCCAATCTTTATGGTCTAAAAGGTACCAGATAACGTTTCCGAGCAGATAACGTTGTTAGACTGACTA